GAAGGAAGGAGAAAGAAAACAAAGTACCGTCTATTAAGTGCCTGCCGTGTGCTACTATTTGGTACTCTTATTAATACATACGTTACCTCATTTAATCCTCACGGCCACCCAACACAACGGGCTGCGTTACACCCCTCTGTTTTACAGATGAGGAAATCAAGGTTCTGCAACGTTAACTTAGACGTCTGAGGTGTCAGACTCAAGTCTAGGGCTCTTTCAACCACCCTGTAGTAGGTTAAATAGTGTTACCCCAAAATCCATATCCACCCGGAAACTCAGAATGTGACCTTATTGAGAAACGAGGTCTTTGCAGAAATAATTAGTTAAAATGAGGTCATACCACATTAGGGTAGGCCCAAAATCCAATGACTGGCGTCCCTTTATAAGAAGAGGAGAGGGACACACAGGAACAGAAAGAGAAGACAAGCTCACAGGAAAACAGAGACAGAGATGAGAGTGATGCAGCCACAAGCCAAGGAATTCCTGGAGCCACCAGAAGTTGGGAAAGGAAGGAAGGAGGCTCCCCTACAGTTTTCAGAAGGAGTGTGGCCCTGCTGACACCTTGATTCTGATTTCTGGCCTCCAGAACTAGGAGACAATAAATTTCTGTTGTTTTAAAACATCCAGTTTTTGGTAATTTGTTATGGCAGCTCTAGGAGACTAACACACACCAAGAGGGAAACAGGTCATTGCTATTTCCAGCTCGGGTCACTGGGCAGATTTACTAAGAGTGAGCAGAAACACCACCTACGTTTTCCAAGACCTGGGGAACTTGGGAAAAGAACACTTGTTCAGAGGAAAGTTGAAATTAGAGAGTCAGGCCAAGATGACGAAGGGTGAAACCCAACAGGTGCGGCCTCCTAAACAGGTGCATGTGGCTGAAAGCAGGCAGAGGGCGGGCCTTCCGGTCACCATCAGCACTTCCAGCTTCCCTGACACTCCCCGGATAACCCGTCCTGAGGCCAAGGTTGTCTCCCCTGGGCTCTGTAGCTACTGAAAAACAACAGAATATAAATCCATGAATGAGCTGTCTCATCACCCCAATGACAAAGGGACTTGAATGATTTAGAGCCAGAATATTCTTTTCTCCATAATGGCTCCTGGAGTCTCCAGGAATAGTACATTTACTAAAATTAATGGCAAAACCTCATTTTTCTTTTTCTCTGGAAGAGAAGTTCCATCGGCCGGGTAATTGATCCTGATCTGGATGTGCCGGTGAGTCAGCTGGGGGTATAAATCATTCACATGCAACCACTCGCAACCCTTAAACCAACACCAACAGTGACAAATGGTGCAGGCTGGGGACAGGAGGAAAGGAATGCGGACAGGAGATCCATCAACATCCTTCTTGCTTCTCACTGGGGCCCTGGATCCTTTTTTGGTCTCCCACAGCAGAGCCATTTTTCAGCAAGGTTGGGTTGAAAAGGCAGTGGGGGTAGGGGGGTTCCGGTGATAGCTTCAGCGTTGGATGCACAGGAATGCCGATCCCAGCTCTGCCATCCCTGACCCTGCAGCCCTGGGCAATCTCACACCTCTGCCCTCCGCATCCTCCACCCCCTGGGGTTGATGTTAAGCATTATAGAGGACAGAATCTGTAAAGAGCCTGAGCATAGAACAACGTAATAGATGTTTGTTGAATGAATGAATGAATGAATGAATGAACGGATGAATACTTGAACGGTGGAGTTCGTAAATTCATTCTATGTCTCTAGGGAGATTTGAATTTTAAAAATGGAAGGTAAAGACAGTGTTCCACCCTAAGAAATGGGTTTGTGGTGGTGACAGTGGGTGTGGGAGAGAGATTTGGTGGCAACTGGCTTTCCAAGACTGGCTCACATCACAGCGCACCACCCCGGTTTTGCCTGTGAAAGCTCTGAGCTCTCATTATGAAGGAAACTCCATACCTGTATACAGTACACGAGCCATGGCCTTAGCTATATTTTCCCATGCAGCTCTATATTTCCATGCACAAGCCTCTTGAGGTCAAGGGTGTGTCCTATTCCTCACCAGATCCCAAGCAGGTAGCACGGGGATTGATCCATAGTGAAAATAATGTACACGTACCGCATGAACGAAAGAACCAGAGCTCTTTCAGGCTTTTGGCTTTTGGCTTCCTTTCAGAGTTTTGGTGTAGTTTAGGGATAATGAATGGTGCAGAGAAGCTGCCCCTTGGCTTACAGGAATGAGATGGGGAAAGGCAAATTGGACATGGACAGGCAGGATCATCTGTCCTGAGATGCCTGGGAAGTACCAGGAGGGGCTTCAGCAACAAGGCTCAACTTGAAATAACAGTGAGCACTTAACTCTTCCAATGAGCCATGTTTCGTCTACGCTGTGTCTACACAACAGGGACCTCAGGATTCCTCATCTCTCCTTACCAATGCCTGTATCTGTGCCATGGGCGTGGCTGCTATTGAGTAGATATGTGTTAAATGAATAAGTGAATAAACAAGAGTATGACATCCTCTTTTCTCCTTTTTCAGTGGAAACTTCCCAGGGCCCAAAGGCAAGGGATGCACTTGAGGTCAAATAGGTTGACGAGTTCTGGGGACATCCACCACTAGGAAGAGGCTGCCAGCCTGATATTACCCTTTGCAGCTTTGCTGTCCCACAGAATCGCTGAGAAAACAGCAGGATGTGCTGGATGACTTCAGAACACCAGAGGAGGAGCAATGCCCTCCCCTTCTATAATGGCTTGAAGAGTGGCCTCCTGAAAGATATGTCCACCTCAAATCTGCGAATATGATCTTATTTGGGAAAATGGTCTTTATAGATATGATTAAGGTAAGGATCTTGAGATGAGATCAGCTTGGATTTAGGGTGAGCCAAAAATGTAATTTCAGTTGTCCTTATAAGGAAAACATGGGGGGACATTCGAAACACACACACACACAGAAGATGGCCCTGTGAAGACGGAGGCAAGGATTGGAGTGATGCAGCCACAAGCCAAGGAATGTCTAGAGTCACCAGAAGCTGGAAGAGGCAAAGAAGTATTCTCCCCTAGAGTCTTCAGAGGGAGCATGGCCTTGCTGACACATTGGTTTCAGACTTCTGGCCTCCAGAATGATGAGAAAATAAATTTCTGTTGTTTTAAGCCACCCAGTTTGTGGTAATCTATTATTGCGATCCTATGAAACTGATACTTTTCCCAACTGCAAACACTCTGAAATAAAGAGAAAGTTCAGCCTTGATGAACTTACCCAGAAACTTGCAATCAGAAATCAGAGAAAGATGCAGGTCTAATCTCAGCATACATGCAAGCTTTGTGTTTTACAGTTTTGTGAGTTTTTTTAAAATTTTTATTCATATGTGGGGGCTACATTATAATCTTTTCAGTATTTTAGGGTCTTTAATGATCTGAATATGGCCCCAGGAAAGGGGACAGGGAGAGGAAAATAAGGAGAAAGGAGAGAGGGAGGAGGAGAGAGGGGGAGAGGAAAGCCAGAGAAAAAGAGAGCAAGGGAGAGAGAAAGAAAACCACTGTTTGATCTGACTGGAATGCCTGAGTGTCTGGCCAGTTAAAGAAGACATCAGAGGAGAAAGCCTAGGATTTTCTCTCCTCCCAGCCAGAGCTTGTAGGAGTGCAACTTGGCTGCGTGAGAAGCGAGGCTGGGTAGTGAGGAAGTTGCCGTGTCAATTGAGGAAAGAGCCTTTTTCTCTCCCAGTGCCATAGGGGTGGAGGAACTGTCAGTCAGGGGCCCTGGACTTTGCCTGGGAACCTCTGTCTCTGTGCAGTGCCTCACCTCCCCCTACACAGAAGACCCAGGCAGCCGGCTTGTCAAGGGAAAGCTGATGGGGATGACACTGGCTGTGGGAGACAGTGGCCCAAGAAATATATTTGCTGGGGGAGGACAAGTTGGTGAGACCTGTCACAACACCAGAATGGACAGAGTGGGAAGGAGAAAATGACTGCGACTTAGAGACCCCTGAGCCAAGCCTTGGCATGCGGGGGACTTCCTCAGGAAGGCTGTGTGGTGGTAGGCAAAGGGAGTGCCAGATGCCCCCTGGGTCACAGAATCAGAAATCTGGAGCCTTGGGCATGTCCAGCCCCGCAGGGAAAAGGTAGAAGAGGCACTCTCAGATGCCCTGTGGCTCCTGTAGGAAACTGTTCTTAGCACAATACACCGAATGATGGCAAAACCTTCCCATTAGGCAGGAAACATAATTTAAAACTGTTTCTTGGACCACACTAGGGGCAAGGTATGGATCAGTGATCAAAAGCAGAGACTACACTGTTAGGCAGCCCTGAGTTCAAATTCTTACTCATATGTGACCTTGGGCAAGTGAACATACCACTCTGAGCCTCGATTTGGCAGGTTGATGACCCTGTGCCTCAGTTTCCTCATCTTTATAAGGGAAATCATCATAGCACCTATCTCCCAGTTTTAATGTGAGGATTTAAATAAGAAATGTTTCGTTCAGAACCTGGCACGTAGCAAATGCTTCCTACATGGTGGCTTGCATCATCATTTTTACCTTTTTGTTGTTGCAATTCATAGCTCAGAAATAGCTCTGCGTTCACTAGATGTGACCTGAGACTAGTTATCTTCCCTCTTTACTTTAAGAGGGGCTCAGTTTCCTCATCTGTAAAATGGAAGTGATAAGTCTGACTTTGCAGGGTTGGTGTGAGGTTACATGATATTTCAGATGCTAAAACCCAGTGAAAGACAGACACTTAATAAACATAAGTTCACTCCGCTTTGTACGAGGCTGCTCTGCATTGGGGTTGAACGTGTGAGGCGGGAAATGAAAAGTCTGGTGTCAGATCTAATCAGGCTTGGGGCCCGTCCAGCCGCAAGCAGTGAATGCCATTGGTCCGCTTTGGCTCCGCCCCTGAAGCTGGCAGCCAATGGCAGTGCCGTCTTTCAGCCCATCCCACTTCCGTTTCTTCCTGCTTCCTCCGGCACAGCGCACAGGCCCAGGAGTCTCCCACCGGAAGTCTTCCTAAACCTCATCCCAAACCCTCTCTCGAGCAAGAGCCGCGTCGGCGCGGGACTCACCAGCTCCATGCACCGCCGGCTGGCCTCTGCCTCCCGGCGCGCCAGCTCCGCCATGTCCGCCTTCAGCTCCTCCAGGCGCCGCTGGTAATACTGGCTGCTCTCCCGCTGCTGGGACTCAGACGCCGCTGCCTGCGACAGCTCCTCGCCCATCTTGATCAGGCTGTCCCGAAGCCGGATCACCAGGACCTGGGAGGGGCAGAGGGTACACGCCCGCTTTGCAGTTAGAGGCCAGGGCCACGAAGCAGGAGGCCTCAGGAAGACAACAAATCCTTTGCTAGACCTCTGTGGGTTTTCATAAAGTAATTGGGATAAGAATCCTGATGTCTGCTACAAAAATGAAGAATTTACTGTAAAAACGTGGGAAATGATGACTGCTATTCCGAGAGGCAGTGTAGCACACTGATGATGCTCTGGGTTCAGATCCCCCCTCTACCTCTTCCTGGCTGTGTGACTTGGGCAGGTTGTGGAGCCTCTCGGAGACAGGGATGATGACAGTACCTGTGTCCTGGGAATGCTGTCAGGATCCACTGCATTGTTATGCTGAAGGCTCAGCTCGGTGCCTGGCACCCAGATGTGCTGGATAAGGCTTGGGGATTATTAATATTTATAGCAGCCTCTATCCTCTCTGCATCCCAAGGTTTGGGGGGTGGAGTGGTGCAGTGGAGAGAGAACTATGCTGGGGGCGACACCTTTTCCCCAACATGGGTTTTGGTTTCCTGATTTATAAAATGAGAACGTTTCATCATATAATCTCTCATGAGCCTCAGCCCTGATATTTTATGACATTTTTCCTTTTCTGGGGAGTAGGAGGTTGGGGGGGATCCAGGAGGGCACAGTGAAACAATAGAGAGAAAAGTGCTTTGGGTGTCACGAGTGCTACAGAAAACAAACCCAAGGGCCGTTCTGCAGAATTCATTAGTTGGGCAACAAGCCTGGAACCAATCGATCCTGATGGGCAAATACTCCAGTGTTGACACAAGACGGAGCCCACATGAATATTTCAGATCCTTGCTAAGGACTCTGAGCCACCTTTCTGCAGCCAGAGGCAGGAGGAACCAGACACTGAATAACAGCCTGGAAGGAAGTCTTTACTATTCAGTTCCCTTTTGCCTGTCAAATGAAGTTCAGCCACAGTTTCGAAGAGCAGCAGGAACGGGTATAAAGAGGAAGAGTAGTTCTCAAACTATGTCCTCGAGGCATCCCATCTCTCCACTGCAAGGACCCAGGATTCTACTAAATTCGGATAATGGGGGCAGAGGGAGAAAGTGAATTTGGAGATAGCATCTTTCCATTTGAAGTTTTTCTGCCATAATTTTCTTTTCTTCTCTGCTATCATTTGACTATGCTAGCATCAAGTAAAAACAAGCATGTGATATAGCCTAATGTTATGTATTTAATATTTAAAATATAGTAGATCACAAGTTTCATGGTGATATGCAGGGATAATCTATGCCTTGACAGATCCCTTGAGCAATTCTGAGAACCACTGAGGGTCAAGGAAAAGAAGAATTTCTCTCTGTTCTTCATCCAGAGGAGCTTTATTGGAGACCAAATGCCCCTGGGGGATCAAGAGAAAATGTTTCAGAATGAGGAGGGCAGCCTCCCATTATCTAGATGCACTGTCATGCCGTGGTGAAGCCAGCTGCCTGCACAGAAATTGGAATCTACAACCAGGGTGGAGTGAAAGTCAGGTGTGGTGTCAATCTACCTTGGCCTGGGCACTACCTGCCTTTATCTTGAGCAAGTCACTTGACCTCTCTGAGGTCATCTCACTCATTAGATGAGGCTTATCCTTCCTACCCCACGGGGCTGTATCAAACATCAAGTGGAGTAGTTAATAGAAAAGGATTTTGACCATGGTGACATCCTCTGTAAAAGTCCCATGCCATTGGCCTACAGAGCTGAAGAAGTAAACACCTGTGCTCCCAGCTCAAGAGTGATGCGAATGCAATCGCTGAACCCCCACCCAAGCCCATCCAAGTCTTACCTGTCCTTCAAGGTCCAGCATTAATGCCACCTCCTCCTGGAAGCCTCCCTGACTCCCCAGCCTTGAAAGGATCTCTGTCTTCTGAACCTCACAGCCCTCTCTCCAAATTATGGACATTTGTGTAAATATCTTACCCACATCTCTGACAAGGCTCTATGCTTCTAGAAAGCAGATCTGTGTTACACAGCTATCTCCTACGCACCTAAAGCAGGGCCTAGCACACACTAGGTACAAAATAAATTTCTGTTCAAAATGAGTGTGGGGCACATAAGTGATTGAATAGGTAGGTGGAGATGAGAAGAATTGGATCAGTGGATGAAAAGCGGGGTAGGCAGAAGGATCAAGATCTCAAAAAAAAAAAAAAAAAGGAAAGGAGAAGAAAGAGTGAAAGGAGAAGGAAAAAGAACACATGGAAGGGAGGATGGATGGATGGAGACAGATAAATGGAGATGGATAGGTGGTTTGTGGGATGGTGTGGTGGTAGAAGGAGGGAGGGAGGACAGGAAGGAGGGAGGAGGGAGTTTGGACGGGAGATGGATGAGTCATTTGTATCCAGATAAAGGCATATGAGTAGATAGATGGATGCTGGGAGGATGGATGGAGCTTACACAACGGCTCTCACTGCTCTAGGTCTGAGCAGTGCTCACATGTCACTAAGTACCTCAAATCTCTTAATCTGCACTTTCTGGAACTCCGTCCTGTTCTCCAGGTCACAGATGACTGCCTCCTGCCTGCTGACGATGGCTCGATCCACGGTGGACTGCTCCAGGTGTTCGATGCGCGTCTGGGCCACCTGCAGCTGGGGGCACACCAAGAGGTCCATTGGCCACCTGTTGGCCCTCCATCCCAGGAAAGAGACACATGCAGGACCCAGCCTCGGGGCTCATTCACACGGCCTCCTTCTCTGCTCAAGTGCCACATGTCAAATGCCGGCACAAGCAAGACCTGTCGGGTCTGAATCCGAGGACCCTCATTGGACCCTCACACTAGGCCCTGCTCCTGGGTCTCGGGTACTGGGAGGGGACGCTTATTGTGTCTTCAGAATTCAAAACAGGACTTCTAATCGGTGCTCCCCCTCCCTCCTTCCCTGCTATTGCAAAAAAAAAAAAACAAAACAAAAAACCCAGCAAATCTAGTCTGTGAGCAACAAGCTGTAGCATCAGAAAATGCAGGCACGTTGGGCGGGTTTCCAACTGGATGAGTCTGAGCAAGTCAGTTCCCTTCCTCGAGCCTCAGTTTCTTCCTTTTTCTTGTGAGGATTAACGGAGATTAGTGCCTGACATGTTATAAGCACCCAGCAAATGGCCACCACTGTTATTTTCGTTGTGCTGTTGTTACTCAGTGCCCGTGCACATTTGCTTGAGACGCGGTCACTCTGACAGTCACTTTAGGCAGGCACGTGCAACAGTTCTAGAAGAGCTTTGAGAATTTCATGGATAACAGCAACCCTCCGGGGAATGACGGGAAGCCAGGGATGTCTGGAGGGATCGTGACTTCAAAGGAAGACTTCACAAAGGACCATGATCCTGTCTTACACAGATCGTCCCCTGCTCCTCGGAGCCATTCCTCAGAGGGAGGAAATCTTGCACTGAACAGTCGCATTGCCTGGGGCATGTTTGGATGCAGAACAGACATAGGTAAGAGTGAGTGAGTGTGTGTGTATGTGTGTCTGTCTACTGGCATTGTTCTCAATTCATCTGGCACACAACTGGAGCTTAGTAAGTGTGTGAATGAATGAATGAATAAAGGAATGAATGAATCAATGACAGTTTCCAGGAGTCGAAGTATAAGTGCCCGAGGGAACCCTTCTCTTCCTCCCCCACAACATGACGGCTCTCAGCACGTACTTGTTCTTGAAGTTTGTGCTTCTCCTTCTTGGCTTCCTCCAGCTGCAGCTGCAGTTCTTGGATCTGCCCAATGTCAGTAGCAGACTGGTGAGACAAAAAAGAAAAAAAGTCACCCTGAGACCACAAGCTTTTCTGGGAAACCACCCCTGAAAATCCCTTCTTCCCCAACCCACAGATGTCTGTGTCTCTCAGAGCTTCTGTGATAATAGCTGTTTCCCAAAAGTTACCTCTCACATCCTCCCCAACAGCCTTCATCTAAATGTTCGCTGAGTCACCCCATTATATAAGCCCATGGCTTTGGTCAACTGTCCAGCACTTTCTTATACACCCTTGAGAGCCCAGACAGAAACGGGCTGGCCATGGCACGAGGACCAGATTCCAAGGGAAGAGAACTATCCTGAGTGTCAGATGACTGAGATTCTAGACCTGGACACTGGCCTTGGCAAGCCATAGAGCCTCTTTGCCCTTCTGTCTCCCCATCTGTAAAATGGGCTCATAGTCTCCGCTTAGCCCCTCTACATAGAATTCATTCAGAGATTAAATGGAGCAGTAGAGAGTAAAGGTATTTTTTTTAAGTAGAACCAACCATGGAGCTTGATTATCTCAGAAGAAAGGGATTCCAGAGGGTAGGAGGGCCCCCCTCACTTTCTATTTCCCATGTCTTTATTGTTAAAATTCTTTTAAATGGGCATATGCATATAATGCTTTTGTAATTGAACAAATAAACCTCCATTTTGGACAAAAAATAAGAGTGATTCATAAATGCAGAAGATGGCATAGGCTATTTTTGTGGTGGTTGTTGTGATGTTGATGATATCATTGATTATTTTTGCTGTTATTATTCTTTGTTTAGCAGAAATTCCATGGGGTCAAATCTCTGTCGGACGCACGTGGAGCCTGGAAGGCATTTCACCCCGGGTCTCCTCTGGGGCACAAATGTGAGGAAGACACTCATTGCTCCTGCAGGGAGCTGTCCCCCCCGCCAGGCATGCAGATCCCGGGAAGTCCTCATCACACCCTCAGCCCCACCCCAATGCCCCTGTTTTGTCCGTGCTGCCACCATGCCCCCTGTTCTCTCCTGAGTCATCCATCCTGTCCTCATCTCCACTCAACTGTCTGGCTGGAGTTGTCTTTCTCCCGGACAGCTGCAGCTTTCATTTATTCAACAGCTATTTACTGGGCATCTGCTCCAGGCCAGTCACTCTTCTTGGCTGCGGATACAGCACTGGACAAGGCAGAAGCAAGCCCTCCCATTGTGGAGCTGATGGTCTGGGGCGGTGTGCTGGCTGGTCCTTTGCAACTGCTCTTGCCCCTAAAAAGCTTGCCGGTGATTCCCTTCAACCATAAAATAAAACCCAAACTCATCACAGCCTCTAAGACCCTGATCTGATCCTCTTTCTCCTGGCCTCACTGAGCTCATCTCGTGCCACATTTCCCTTGTGGGTCTCCTTTCACCCTCTCAAATGCACCACCACAGGCCTTTTGCATGTGCTGTTCCCCTGCCTGGAACACACCCCCCAACCCCCACTGTCCCATTCCCATCAAATTAACTCCCGCTCCTTGTTCAGATCTCCATCCAAGTGCCACCTCCTCAGGGAAGCCTTCCCTGGCCTGCAACCTAGGTCGGGCTTTGCAGAATTGTGTTCATTTCCTTTCTGGACTCTTGGCTCCATTTGCAAGTCTCCCCTCTGCTCTGGGTGACTATGTGATAAAGTCTGGCCAGCCCACTAAACCACGAGGCACAGGAGAGCAGGAATGGGATGTGCTTTTACTCACCAAGGTATACTCGGCATTGCTCACAGGGCCTGACACATAGCAAGTGCTCAGTGACTATTAGATAGATAGACAGGTATGGATAGATAGATGATGGATAGATAAAGGTAGAAGGAGGGATGGTTGGATAGGTGCATGGGTGGATAAATGGGTAAGTGGGTAGAAGAATGGATGGATAGATGAATAAACAGAAGAATGAATAAATGAATGGATAGATGAATGAATGAATGGGATGGATGGATGGATGGATGGATGGGGAGATGAGTAGATGAGTGGATGGGTAGGTGGGTGGATAGAAGAGTGGATAAGTGAATGAGTGGGTTGATGAGCAAATGGATGATGATGGGCGAGTGGATGGGTAGATGGCTGTACGGATAAATCAAAATCTTTCTTGGTGGAGATGTCTTCCAGAGATGCACACACCATCTGAAGGTGACATTCTCCTCCCTCAGGGCTACATGAAATTTACAATTCCTATCTGTCTCTATGGCGTTCATCTCTCCAAGATCCTAAGACCAACGAGTGGTCCAACCACATCACCTTCTCAACATCCCCTCCTTAATCTGCCCCAAGCACCTGAGCTTGTTCCGCCCAGGCTGGTTCATCACCTGAGCAATGAGTTCCTTGTGCTTCTGCATCAGCTCGTTCAGATCATCCTGGTCCTCGTCGATGCGCTTCAGGAGGTCCGCTTTCTCGAACTGCAGCCGGTACAGCTGCTCATCCACCTGGTGGGAGGCAGGCCGATGCTGAGGGTGAGGTGGGAGGGCGCGGGGTGGGCAGGAGGGGCCTGATGAAGGGCCAAGGGAGGCTTGCGTGTGTGTGTATAAGGGTGGCCGTGAGTGCCAATGCCTGGGGTGGGCGTAACAGCTTGTATGTGTGAGTGTGTGTGAGTGTGTGTGTGTGTGTGTGTGCACCGGGCATGCGTGTGACTGTGAATGCCGGGGGTGTGCACCTAAATGGATTTATATCTAATCACTTCTTGGCCTTTTGGCTAAAATCAAGTGTGAATGGATTTATGTCTGTGTCAGCCACCTGGGAATCTAAGTACGCACATTTTAAATGTTCGTGGGACATATGTATAAACACAAATCCCTGCACTCCCCCTGAGGACAGGGACTTGGTTCTGTTCACAGGTATATATCCCCAGAATGAAGCATCAGGCCAGCATATAACAGCAAATACATATTGGGGATGGACAGATAAGTCTGGATGCATACTTTACCTATGAGGGCATTATTTTGTATGTGCATCTGGTGATTAACATGTATGTTCATCCCCATGTGTGTGTATGTGAATGCTTGTGGGCAAGTCCTCTTAATTTGGTGCAAAAAAATAAGGGACAAAAGGGCAAACAGAGATCTCAGACAAGCATTTGCCTGTACATCTCTAATTATACCTAAATTTTGGGATTTTACATATTCAGGAGAATATGTATACCCAGACAGGGAACTTAGACATATATCCATAATATATGGCCATTTGTCCCCATTCAGTTGTGAGCACAGTAGTTCTATATTATAAACGGCTCAATCTTCTTACAGGAGTGTGCCTAAGTGGACCCGCAAGAGGTGCCCTTGTCTCCACTTACAGGAATAGACATGCAGTAGCCCAATAATAAAGAGCAAGTTCCATTTTAGGGCAAGGAGCACACAGTAGGACTACAACAGACACCTGAGAACTACAGAGTGGTGAGCATGCTGTGGCCACACAATAAACAGCTGCATTCCCACCTTTGATGCTGAACAAACAATAGGCTCATATGGGATGCACCCTCACAGTACTGAGCACACATTAGGTCCACAGCAGGTTTCCTTCCTTACCGTTGCAGACAGGAGCACACAATTGAGGCTCATATATGCCCTTACACCTTTAGAATGCTCAGCTCACAGTAGGATGGCTGCACACTCAGAGTGCTAAGCACCCAGTAGGTCCACAACAAGTGCTCCGTCCCTATCATAGAGCTGAGCACCCAGTAGGCCTACAATGGATGCTCATATCTCCAAGGTGACATGCAGTAGGTTTATATTAAGTGCCCTCATCCCTCTCATAATGCTGAGCACGCAGTAGGACCACACCAGCTCCCGGAGGCCTGCACTGGCCCGGGTCCCCACAGAGGGAGGAAGGGACAGGTACCAGGCTCTTGCTTCGGGTCATGTTCTCCAGCTCGCTGTGCATGCTCTCCAGGTCTGCCGTGAGCACCTTCTGGATCTTCAAGGCCTCCTCACACTTGGCTTCACTCTGCTCCAGCTGGACCAGGCAGGGAGGTGGAGAAGAGAAGAGAGAGGAGGGGAGGGGAGGAGAAGGGAAGAGGGAGAAGATCAGAGGAGAGACCTCCTTGTGAGGCTGCCTCCTTGAACGCCCTTCCCCTCCAGCCCACCCCAGCTCCTCTCCAGCAGCGGAATAATTTATAGGCGACCCTCACGTCTTCACAGCTATTCATCAACCCACACCTGGGGGGAAGGAAATGCATTTGCATTTGAGGCAGCCAGGTTCTGCGCCCACTCAAAATGTAACTGGCACTGCCCCATGAAATAAGGTTAGGCCACCCTCGCTGCAGTGCCGGAAGCTATTCCCAGTCCCTTTCGGCAAATCCTTGCTGACAGCCACTCGGTGCCAGGCACGGGGCATGCAGGGAACAGTCAAGTTGACCCTGTCCTCCCGGAGGAGACATGCAGGGACAGGTAATGACAACCTCTCTGAGGAGTTCAGAGAAGAGGGGACCACTGGAAGGGACAGTGGGAACTCAGAATGGGAATCAAGGGAGACTTCCTGGAAGAGATGCCTCCAAGGTCAAGTAGAAGGTCAAGTAGCTGCCAAGTAGAAGTTGCTTAACCTGGGTTCAGAGTTAAAAGAGTGTCTTTGAACCCCTCCCTTTTTTTTAGAGACAGAGACTGTCTCTGTTGCCCAGCTAGAGTACAGTGGCCTGGTCCCAGCTCACTGTAACCTCAAATTCCTAGGGCTCAAGCCATCCTCCTGCCTCAACATCCAGAGTAGCTGGGACTACAGCCACCACCATGCCCAGCTAGTTTTTTAACTGTTTGTAGAGACGGGGTCTGGTTATGTTGCCCAGCCTGGTCTCAAACTCCTGGCCTCAACTGCAAGTGATCCTTCCTCTTCAGCCTCCCAAAGTGCTGGGATTACACAGGCATGAGCCACTGCGCCCGGCCTGGACCCTCTTTTAAATGGTATGCAAAATATTCTGCATGTGAGCATTTTCCTGGGTTCGCAGCTTTCACGAGATTTTTGAAGGCTGAGAGCCACTGACTTAAATAAAACTTTTCTTTCTCACCCTTTTCTTTCTCATTCTTCTGCCCTCCTGCACACAGTAGGCCTCCTATCCTAGCAAAGTGGGGCAGTTACCACGTACGTGGCCCCAGAAGGTAGATACGCCCCACTGGGGAAACCCATATCCAGGCACAGCACAAACCTAAGTTCTGGTATTGGGAGCTTCCCCTTGATTTCTGAGCTCCAGAATCTCTGAACAGAAACACTTTTAGAAATCACCCATACCCAGGGCTCAGAGAGGGAGGGGCCATGACCCACAAGACCCTCTCTTCAAGCGCCTGAGAACAATGCATGACTGCAGCTGGTCTCAGCACAGGGCCTGAGGACTTGGTGGCGCATTTCCCTTAGTGACTGGGAGGGAGGGACACACACCGAGAAAATGATGAGGACCACGGGAGGCAATTGGCATTGTTAGAGCATAACCGACAGAGGAAACGAGATGTCAGGCACACGCTTATCTTCCTGCAGGCGACTGCGGCGCCCTCAGCATGGCTAGGAGGTCGCGGGGCGGGGAGGCTCCCCTGAAGGCAGGCAGGGCAAAGCTGGCCCCTCATCTGAGCAGAAGTCAGAGTCCTCACTAAGGAGAAGCATCTAAGCTAAGACCTAGAAGACGCCAAGGAGATGCCATGTACAGATTTAGGAAGAAGAGGGCTCTGGGGAGAGGCAATAGCACGTGCAAAGACCCCAAGGCAGAGACAGGAACAAACACAGTGCTGAGGAACAGAGACATCACCAGTGTGGCACAGCTATACGGAGAGAGGAGAGGAAGAGGAGACGCTGAAGAGGTGGATGGGGGTCACCTTAGGAGGCTCGAGAGCTGGGCCGTAAAGCTTAGATTTTATTTCAGTCCGTCTGGGAACCACTCATGGTTTCTAAGGAGCTGAGGGGCGTGATCTCCTTTGGGTAGCTGTGGGGAAGAAGAGTTTTAGTGGGACAGGATTGGAAACAGGGTGAGCAGTGAGGATGCTGCTCTAGTCCTCCAGGGAGGAGGTGGCGGAGGTGCTCTGACCAGGTGCGAAGGGTGGAAGCGAAGAGCGATGGAAGGATCTGGACAGTGGGGTGTGCAAAGAACAACAGGTCTGGGCAGGCAGGAGCAGATGGGCCATCAAGGGAGATGATGTCACATAACTAATGGAGGAGAGGGAGGCCGCACGCAGGGCCCTGCTGCCAAGCCAAGTTGCTCGGCCCGGAGCCAGGAGGCGAGAGAGGGCCATCGTGAGTAACGCAACATGGCAGAGCAGAACAGGGCGACACAGTTCCCATCTGCTGGCTCCTCCTTCAGCCGAGGGTTTCAATAGCTCGATCCCACCGGGCCTCAGCGCCACCAGAGACGGAGGCTCTATTTTTATCCCCATTTTATAGAAGGTCTAAGGTGCAGAATCCAGAAATGCTCCTTCCTTTCCCTTTTCTCCTTGGAGCGGGCAGGGAGGGGGACAACATATCCGCAGACAGAGATGATCACAGACAGAGCGCAGTCGGCCGAGACAGCTGCTGGTCTTCTGAGCTCCTACTGGGCTGGAGATAGGATTGTCTTGGCCCTGGTGGCTTTGGCATTAGCAGCCGCACCTGCTACTGTTGCTTGGGGACTGTTTTCAGGGCACTGTGCTTTCTCTGTCTTGCTTCATAAAAGCCCCTCCACCCCTCTAGGAGGAAGGTGCCGGCATTAGGACCCTTCAATAAACAAGGAAACAGACGCACGGGGAAAAGTGACTTGCCCACGGTCACACGGCCAGTCCACGGATAGCCGTTGGTCCGACTCCAGAGCCCAAGCTCTTAACCGCTGAGCTGCAGTGGAAAATAACTCACTGGGAAGTCTGACTGCATGGGTTGAATGGATTAAAATGAAAGAACAGCTGTGCTGCAGAGAAAATGGTTAGCTCAGTGGTTTGGTGCCATAACAGAAGCAGTGTCAGGAGGACCAGGTTGGGGTCTGCAGAACCCAATGCAGTAGCATTAACACATCACTCTCTAAGGAAACATCTGTCATTCCTGGAGGCTTCCAGAGATGAGCAAGTTCATTCCAAAGGAGAGAGGAAGGAAACCAGCCTTACGGACGCTTACTAAGTGCCAATTTCATCGTGTGCATGGTTCAGAGCTTGGGCACTGGACCCAGACCTGAGGGAATCTGCCTTTCCCAGTAAGTCACTGAATCTTGCTATGCCTCAGTTTCCTGATCTGTGAAATGGGGATGATTCCCTCAAAGGATCTCTGCAGGAGAAATCAGTGAAAACATGCCAAGTGCTTAGCACAGCCCCAGGTGTTGAGAAAACATCATAAAATGATAAAAGCTGTTGTCAATGCTGTCCCTATGAACGCCTTTCACCCCAGAACAGCCTGAAAAGTGGGGATTTTTAACCCCATTTTATAGACGGAGAAAATGAAGCAGAGGCAAAAAGAACAGGCCGAGTCACAGAGTAAGGACGAGCTGCACCTCACCACCGACAATCTTACGGAGGAATTTTAGGCTTTCCGCGTGGCTGGGATGGATGGGGGGAGGTCCCCGACCCCAGGGGCATACAAGTCAAGCAGGTCCAAATTTTAATAGGATATAGAATGGCAAGACCAGAAATTTCCCAGCCCAAGGCCTCCACCAGGCAGGCTTTCTTCATGCTGAGCTTTAAAAGTTTCAATTTATTACACTTTAGGGAGCGGGAAGAAATACGAGGCCATCGCGGGCTGATTTTCCATTATGGATGACCTGGCGTAAGAATAACTCACTGTACATTATTTCCATATTGAAGCTGTTTGACGGATGTTTTTATGAAGTCGGTGGCAAGTCACGTTAGCACCGCGATCAGATCCTTCAGCGGCGCGACACCGGCCCAACACCGCTTTGAAAACGCCTTCCCCCAGCGGAGCTCCAGGCAGAGCAGGCAGAGAGCAGAGGGGAACAGAGGTGAGCAGCGGACAAGTGATTCCTCGGGAGCAGTCATTAATGTCCACTCCCCCAGCCCTTGTGGCCAGGGTGGCAACGAGGACCGGAGATGACAGCTGACACTTCCAACCTTTCAGCCCCCCGTCGCCATCACGTCCCCACGGACAAGGCCTCTTGGGTTCAAACTGTATCTCCGTAATATGGGGTGGACAGGTTTATAGTGAGACAAAGGCCTTGTGACTGCTGCCATCTCTCTCCCGACCTAGCGTGCGGCCAGACCCCAATATCCGCCGGACAACACCACTGATTTGATTCTAGCTTAAGTTTGTTATGGTTTTCTCTCTCCTCCAATGTGTACTTTTTGCAAAATCAGTATAATAATGGCACAAGGATGTGGTTGCAAACCATCAAAATGCCTTCCATAGCTAGAAAAAGCATCTCCCTCTCACAAAGTTTCAGTTTATCGTACCCTCATGAAATCAGCCAGCCTTCCCCGGATCCGCCAGACTCTGCACGGCAGGCATCTGCATCAGGCCTTCAGGGCTTACCAGTCTGTTAAGGTAGGACCCTTCCCTCCACAAACGGGCGCATGCGCCTTCCCAGACTTCTCCACGCTACAGTTACAAGAGGGAATATGCTTCCCCTGTGCATCAACCACGTGTTGCTAAGCTTTGGTCTGGAGATACCCGGTGAGGACTGTGGGAAGATGCAGAAGGACCCTGAAGCCTGGAGTCCACAGGGGCAAGATGACATGAGCGCCATCTGTGATCCAAGGATGGGAGGGAGGGTGAGGCTGCATTATCTCAATGTTCTCTGCCACGAGGGGGGCATATGGGGAACCTGTAGCCTTCTGATCTCAAGATTGTTCTTTTTTAAGCACCGAAGGAGGCAAGAAAAGCTTCATCTTTCTCTGCGGCACCCCTTTTAATAAAAGGATTTGTTCTATAAAATTTGGATTCAGTCAAAAGGCCGCAATTAAGGACCTAGAGGGCTACAAGTGTCCTTAAGGCTGCAGGTTCCCCACCCTTGCTGGGCTTCCAATCCCAATTCCTCTATCTGTGAGCCTATGACCTTGAGCAGGCTACTC